GATGTCAGTGACGCTACCGCGCCTGTTCTTTCACTTCAAATTCCTAGTCATTCCGTCAGACCATTTGAGTTCTTGCACATTTCTCTTGAATTATTATTATTATTATTATAATCACGAGTGTCGTGATTACTTTGGCGGTGTTAAGGTACTTGGATCCACCGCATCTGAATACTCGAACCGAATATAACAATTATTGGACAATTTTTCACTTCTGTAGTGAGAGGGTTTGCTTATAAAAAGATTATAAGTAACTTAGCAAAAGTCACGTTCAAGTTTACCCGGAAATTCATTGCACACCTCTGCCCCTATTTTTTCTTAGCACTACTCGCTAATGACGGACGGTATTCTAGCTGGGGATTTGAAGTGCCTTCTTTTTCCTAAGGTGTCTACCCAGCACTGTGGACAGCGTGACTATAACTAGACACGTTATTTTTGAGGAAAAGTTCTCTATATATTGCCCATTCGACGTTCGCAGGCATTAGTGACAACTCTAAATTTTTACGCCCTTCTCTCACTTGCTTTTCATTCAAGGTGAAATGGCGTGCAGCCATAAAATTATTATATAATTCGGCAAACGCGGTAATTTTCAATTTAATGCCAGCAGCATATGCGCATCGTTTCTGTTAAGACATTTTCCCACGTTTCCTCGGCTCTGAAAGATCACATGCGATAATAACACATTCCCTCTCAGCTGGATCATATGGCTTCGCGCCAGCGCTATTTAGGTGGCAAATCGCGTATGCATTGCGGTTTCTCTTGAACGCATTCAACTGAGAGCAGGTAGTACTGGTGACGTCAAAATCGTTGAGAAACAATTTCGTTTGCTGATTTTTTTTGGTGGGCTGGTTCATAGGGACATAAGACTATTAAACTTCAATATGGCAAAGTTATGCTGTCAGCCTACCCATGGACGAGCTTATTTTATATAATATACGGTAGTTCCTCTTTAAAATCAAGGGTCCTATTTCGCGAAGGGTCTTACAATTGCAGTAATCCATGCTATATCAGTCAGTGTGCAGCAAGCACGTCGTACTATATGTGGAAACATATGTTGCTTGGGTTAGCTGTCGTGTTGTTGATGGGTTACGCAAGCTGATCCGTTTAGTTGCGGATGTTTCACCGTCGGGCGTACCGGCAAATGCTAAATGCTAATGCTGAGCCTCGAGCAATCTCAGAAACAGGCGCTGTCGGCTACAAAAATACTCTTTACATACATTTCAAGCGTTCACAACTACGCTTCCATGGAACTGGTTATATGTGGGTGTGTACTCAGGACTACTGGTTTTAGCATATACTGATTCTTTCTTAAGTCATCTGTTTCTATTATTTATAATCGAAACTAATTGAGTCCTAATGGCAACAGCTTGGTGTTTCGCCATCTTACTTTTCCTGTTTGTTGTATATTTCACGTCTTATTTTTCTACTATGCATTCAGTTCCGTTCATCTAAACAACTATGGCCCGAGCACCGAAATGCGATGGATCCACTTGCCACAGCTCACAGCGTAAGAATAACAATAATTAACAACGGTAAGAAAGGAACTTTACACACAAATGGAATAAAATGCAATCGAAATCATGACAGCAAAGTGAAAAACAAATGGATGGGATAGAGTTATAGCTAAATGCAAGAGATCAAATGCAGGAACGCTATGGACAGCGCGATTATGCCATATCTGATGAAGTCTGGGATGGTTCAACCATCCCGGGGCCTCCATCCAGGATGACGGCATGCACCCACCTGACCAAGTCTCCCAGTCAATTTCTGCATGCCTTTATGCCATACCATCGACTGGCCACCCGAATTTTCGCTCAACTTGGCTCAGTTACGACGTATAATGCACGCCGAGTAAATCGGTCAATGGGCACACGGAGATCATGGCCTATCCATCCTAAGCGATTCAGGTTCAGTAAACACTCCAGTGAGGAACCAGTAGGCTGCGTGCCAAAGACCAACGGGCTGATCTCAGCAATGCTCACCTGGTGTTTCCACTAGATGTGTGCAATACTCCGCGAGCACCGGTGATCCAACATGGCCATGCGTTTAACGTCTTCACTACGAACTGGCCAGATTTCTGATTCGTACAGTAACACTTGATTTATCGCAGTTTTGTACACCCTACCTTTCGCTGATAGGCTGATATTCCGCCGTTTTCACAGACGGTTGAGCCTCTGGAAAACCACAGGAGCCTTGCTTATACGCAAAGTAATTTCCTCGGTGATTCTATTCTATGCTTGTTAACTTTTATTACACGCTTCTATTACTTTCTACTGGTTTGGCCCAGGTGCATTTGTTCGCATTCCACCTGTAGTAATAAACAGACGAAACCTATGACTGCTTTTGGCTATACAATACTCGACTCAATATGCCACATTTATGGTCGACCCGTAGCCCAGAAGTAACGAGCTTGTCTCGTACTCTTGCGGTGCGGGTTCGAGTCCGCTTAGGAGTGGACGTCCTTGTGGTATACTTTGCCCGCGTGCGACTGGTGGTGGTCCTACGGCAGCGAAGCGCCGTTACGGCGTAAGGCTGATACATTATTATTACTATTATCCTTATGCCACATCTCTTTTAAAAATCAATTCCGTATTTCTGCTATCCCAGACTCCTAAAATCTAAATGAACGCCCTATGCTCCCATACCAATGCATTTTCTTACTCAATGTTTTTCACAGCTCAAGCAAGCAGAACTTCTACACCATCGTTGATCTTCCACTTGGCGAGCATCAGTACAAATTCATCGTTGATGGGCAATGGAAACTAGACACGAACCAGGTCTGTTGATGAGACCGCCTTTTTGCCTTTAACTGATGTTTCATGTCGCATCAAATTGCGTCGTTCTCTGTATTCCGATGCGGAGAGTGATAATTGTTTGTGTTACCTTATTTACTGGCTGTATCCTCCGGCCGTTTCCGGCAACGTGTTTATTTGCGTAACCGTATTTTGCCTGACCTTGTTTGCTAACTTTTGTTTATTCACACTGTTAGGTATAGTGCACATTTCCTGATTTCTCTTGCTGGTACATCTGCCGAACTATCAGCGTAACCAGTTATTGTCGTTGTATGGATTGAATAGCAGATAGAAACATCATGAACCCCAAACAGAGCGCGCTTGGTATTTTAGTTCCGTGTGTTTGGTGGAGCACACTCACAGGACGTCTCTATTGCTCTTCCATTTCTAAGTTCGGGACAGACATTCAGGAATACAAATTCCGATCCGTGATCGCTATCCTCTGCCTCATTTTGGTTCACCCCTTTCTCTCATTCACTCATTGAGTTGATAGTTCAGTTGGCATAGGTTACTTTAGAATATCTAAAAAACATGATAACCTAGGTCTACTTAATGGGAACCCTTGCAACGGAATGCATGCCATGCTACTAGTGCCCTGAGATGTATAACGCTCCATTTTCACATTTTTGTCCCTAGCTCTCGAATCATTATTATTATTGTTGTTATTATTATTATTATTCGGCAATGTGAGTAACACCGCCTGCATTCATCGCAATTCAGCGATCAATTGAAACTGATTTCATGAGAATAGTAGGAGGAGTTGACTGGTATAGTTAGAAGTTCATCCCATCTAAACTCAGTCAGACAGCCATCACACACCTGAAAAGCATTGTGCGGCCGTTTCATCCTCTCTGGAATCGACAGCAGTATGCATTCCGTTTGACCCTTGTTGATAATAGGCGGCGCTATGTCACATCTAGTAATTTAGTCACGGTGGTCGTTGGCATTCCACGTAGCTCAGCCGTCCTAACCACAAACTAGTAACATTCGAGTTGCGGGTTCAAACCCCACAGGGTCAGATCGAATACGCACTGCTGACGATTCCCAAAAAGGTTGAACCAGCCATACAGTGTTCTCCTGCGCGTGTGCTGACTGTCTAACTGAGTCTAGATGTAATGAACTGCTGAAACTATTTTACTTCCTCTACCAGTTGCACTTACTCATGGGCGATTGTCTCATTCGTGCACTTTTTAAATGAATGCTTACAGAATCATATGCGGCATTACCTGTCGCCTTGCAACTGTCAGCTTCGTCACTTGTATTGGACTTTAACTCCATCAGCGTGAACGCCTGGAAAGACGTGTTAGAATCGAACGAATTTCTCCCACGCGGTAAGCATAGGTGCTCCAAACTTCATTTGCCATGTGTCAGCTCCCGTAAAACCTGTGATTAGCATTTTAAGCTCAGGAGTGGGATCTGAGCTAGTGTATATCTCTTAGTTCAACTCAATTCATTCACTTTTGATCCTCGAGCGGAGATGTGACTTGGTGTGAGCTGTCGAATTTCACATCACTGCTCGTAAAACCTATGAAGGTCGCAGCTCTGAAGAGCATGACTACAACGAACTGGATGGAGTAGCCTGGAAAATCATTTTACTCGTCAGATCGGACGATCAGTGATTGTCGGCGGGAGGGCTTCTGCATTATGTCATTATGCTGTTTCATTTGATGGTTATAGCTAACAATATGGTTTCTCACATGGACTCAACTCCGAGAAGCGATACGCGCCAATGCGACTTTATCCTCGCTGAGGTTACTCACCCCTCTTAAATAAATAAATAAATGGTATATTTATCGACATTACGAAACACAGACCGACTTCGTGGCCTGATCATTTTGTACACGTGGTGTATAGTGGTGAACGTTGTTTCAGTTTTTCCATGTTCCCAATTGAGTGTTAAGAGTGTTCAACCATTTAAAAGTTAATAAACGAAAGCATTTGAGAATGGGACTAAATGTAGGTATAACCCGCAGTTCAGCTACTACGGTCATCCATAGAACCATCTGCTGGGGGACCTGATTCCATGCGAGGTAATCACACGAATGATTTTATTTCCGCCTCCACGTCTCATCTGGCCATGTCCTGAAATATGGCTCACAACAAGTAAACCGTCATCATTTTGACTCATTGTTAGTTGTTCTTATGTCGTCATCACATTGACTTTTTTCTTTGGACCACTGTTATAGACGATTGAGCTGTCATCAAATTGACGCTTTTTATGACCTCTATTATATACACTTGTCATTACATTCCCACTACTACTACTACTACTACTACTACTACTACTACTACTAATAATAATAATAATAATAATAATAATAGGTATATTTTTCTTTAAGTAAGAGGCTGCGTCCATATTTGACACAGATCAAGTATGTACAGGTACTACCATGCTCTTACGTGAGCAATTTTAAGTCGTGGTGAATAACAAACAATGGTATATTCCTTCTTTGTGAGAGGTACAGTTCAACGGAATGTTACCATTCTTAATGTATGGCGGAATCGCAAGGTGCAGCTGTTTCATTCTTCAAGTGTTCTCCAACCAGTTTTTGGCAGACATGGCTAATTGATTGGTTAAATCTTTCGGGAAGCTTGTGAGGTTATCAAAAAATAAGTGTAGATAATTACAAACATATGAGTTAAATAATACGAGCATCCATAGAGCCGTCTACTGGGGACCTGCTTCCATGTGGGTTATTCTCTCTATGGGTTTCACCCGCACTTCCATGCCCCATATCTGGCCTTCTGCCGGTGTGGCTATTAAAGCAACTAAGCTATCATCTATGTAGCTCATCTTTAGGGCTGTTTTTCTATGTATAAATTGTGGGCAGTCAAGCCCGTACCATCAATCGGTTTTTTGAGTCAAGCACTTTTTTCTCGCCAGGGAACAAATGTCACTGCGCCTTGCATGGGTATAATTATTAACTTTGGAAGCTTCACTTCAATAGCAGTTGTTACACGCAGGGTACTCCCGCCACACCACCCATTCCACAATTCAGCTGTTTCGGGTCCTTCACCTTTTAATATTCACCGGTGAGCGTGCGGCAACTCGCCTTGCCTGGATGTACTACTCAATAGCTTGGAAGTTCCACTTCCTCACCCCATGAGATTCGCACAATCGTAGTCAACAATTGTAACAAAAAATAAATAGAAATGGGATGAAAGATCAGTGAACTCTAAATTGCACGCAGTTCTCCTTCCTCTAAGTTGAACAAGGAATAACTCGTCGTTGCTTCTAAAACTCATTCAGTGGTCTGACGATGTGGGCCCTTGACTTGGGGATGCTTGGGGGATTCCTGCGTAACGCCTTGTCAGTTAACAGAACAGATGAATCGCCTTTTGGTATGATCGATTTGGTGGGTTCCAATTGTTCCATTTTTGATTTTACCCATTGGTTTTATTTGAGAGATGTACGAGCTCTCAAGGCACCCATGGCATCACTCATTGGAGCCCAATAGATCGAAGAGGTATGTGAACCGTCGCATCAACTTAAGCTCAGTCTCGTTGCGTTAATGTCTAACCTCAAGCGATTTCCATAGAGCATGCATGGTGATGGAAACGGAGAACGTGTAGGGCTTGCTGTGTGTATTGGATACTTACTACGTGAGTAAATTATGACCTACAGTACCGTTCTAAGCCATAACTTTTACCGTGCAAACCGCGGCTCTTCAGTTTGCCGGTGACTTCTTTTATTCAAGTCAAGCAAGGCATCAGCAATACGCCGGTACGCAGTACCGACGCTTCGCTGCCGCGCAGCAACCACCAGTCACGAGGGGGCTAAGGGTACTGCGAGGATTGCCCGATCACCCCTACGCAGGCTTGAACCCACAACCTCCGGATTACAAGGTAGGCTTGTGATTCTTGAGGCCACGGTGCGTCCTTTTTTCAACCAAACAACAGGCAACTTAGTTCTCCTCGCTACCTTCAAACTTATTTCCATCAAAGCTAGGGCAGTTTATGCTCCGATCAGCAAGTGAACGCAAACATTAGATTGTTCTTGCGTTTCTTCTGTACATTACCATTATCCATGCAAATCGGGCAGTTCACATCCAGCACTGGACCTGCGCAAGTTTTCATCTCGCATCTACCTGAAGTAGTCGTCCTGCAGCTCCTTTTATGCAGGGATTGACAATCTGTTATTCATGAAACCTGTGCTTAAGAAAGTAATCGACTCCAACCGAGCAAGAACAACAAACATTCCAGCGGAATAATCCGAATTCAGTGTATTTCATGTATTCTCATCAGCCGCTTACAGACATTGGATAAAATCTTCAAACGGTCGGGGATGACAATCCAATACCAGAAATCGGTGGTTACTTGTGTTAGTGCACCATATCCAGGCAAAGCATGGTAGGTCACAAACTCAAGCTGTTTGTATAGCTTTGGCTACAAACGCCGGGGGACAGAAGCCTCAGCAAAACACAGCACTTTGGGATTTCTCTGCTGATCACCTTGAATGCTTCACGGGGTTTTTGGCACATCGAACAGTCGAGTAAGTGCCGGGTGACAGAGCTAGCAGGCAATGTTGCACCGCTGAGAGCTAGGTTTCGCGGAATGTGTTCCGACATTCGGGTAGACAAACTCCTCACTTTTCTGCCGATATACATGCCACCGCAGATACAGTGAAACTGGTAAACACAAGAGGCAGTGACATCAGAGTGAGGCGTGTTTAATGTGGATTAGTGCAGTATCTTTTTGGTCCGGTGAAGCAACACTAGCTCAGCTGCACAATAGCACCTCCTAGTGGCGTGACGTAAGCGATAACAGAAACGCGTATTTTTGTTTTCCTTTATAAGGCAGTATGATGAACACTTACTTCTTTCAGGCCGCAGCTCGTTCTTCTTGCGGCACTTTCTTTTCATACCTGGCGATAAACCTGCCCGGATAACCATTTTCACGTAGGGTGGACGCGACACCGAGTAATTTAATGGCAAACGTTTCACCACTTCGCTCAGTGGCATCTTCAGTGCACGGCTGCGTAGAGGATAATCGAACAGAGGTCACGGGACACGGATCGATGAAGCCGATTTGAACAGTACGTCCCGACGACACTTTCCGTGAAATTATCTACGCAGCCGTGCACTGAAAATGTCACCGAGCGAAGTGGTGAAATGTTTGACATTAAATTACCAATCGAAACCTTACCTACCAACCCGAGCTACAGGTATTTCGAATCATTGCGACACCGAGTAGTTCTCCCTCGTTTCTTCTGTACAGATACGTTGGCTTTCTCACAAAAGAGACACGAACCAAAGAGCGCTTTTATGTAAGTGGCTGATGCGAATGCACGAAATACACTGCATTTAGATTATTCCACTGCAATGTTCGTTGTTCTCATTTCTTCGTCATATGCCGTCTGTGTATGCTTCTGGACTACCGCACTATCCATCCGCTGCGCTCAGTGCAATCTACCTGCTCTATCTATGTTTAAGTTGAACTTGGCTCGTGCTCGGCAGCGCCAATTCTCTGTTATCCATCTGCCCCATTAACTCGCGCCCATAGTACTTGACTCACGTTCTGTTCACCTTTCATGTGTGGGTTTAGTTGACCATCACATCCTATGTCGTTAGTCTGAGTTCCTTGATCCCCTCATGCTGTTCACTCGTTGTTTGTGCCCATCCGCTCCCTCTTATCTGTAACGAAACTGTGCTCCGTTTGTGCTAGACCGAAACAATTGTGACTTGTCCCTCCGGCCCGTGCGACCGTGCTTAGCTCGCCAAGGTGGCTCCTACTTGGTTCCTTGTTTGACTGCGCAGGGACGGTCCCGCTCACCTAGATGGCCGCTTACCACTACATCTAGATTAGTATAATCACTGTGAGTTACTCTTCCCGACTACATGCCTTCCCCCTCCCATTGCCACCCCTAGCCCATTACCACTAGTCCAACTGGAGTACAGAACAATGTAATCGAAGTGAAAGCCTCCGATTTTGATGTGCTCACCGCACTCTCTCACGACATGGCTAGCTCACGCGGTGGAGCTGCTACCGATGATTCGCCCAACACTGGTGCAGCCGGTGGCACAGCGTGGAACGATTTCACTCCGCACCATGAACCCTGCATGGATTCGGATCCCTATCTAACCGGTGGTGGATCTCCACCCGGTGAGTACGGCCGCGTGATTCCATCCAGCCCGTTGACGGCGATGAAAATGCAGTCCGGCAACTCTCCGGGCACTTCCGTACCACCGAATCCCACACTGGGTCAATCGATTCCCTCCACGGACTCGAAAAAAGTGCCAACACCACCAATGTTACCTCCACAACTGCTTCAGGTGAGTGCTTGCATCTGTGTCCCATCAATTCTCAACTCTCGGGTTTAAAATTTTGCATGCGTTCCTTCTTACTTGTACGAAACCCGACATGGAGTCCAATGCTTCAGTTTGTTTACAAAGTTTGGTGCTGTTCCGCTTATCATTTGTAATCCGTGCCCCGACTTGCCTTGACACACGTCACTAATTAATACTAACGCCAATAATAATAATTCTTCGGGGTGAATGAACAGAAATCATAGTCGTTAGTTGGAAGACCTAACAGTCAGAAATGAGGGAACGCACGCACTAGCACCACTCCATTCCTGATTGCACCTGATCTTATGTTGTGGGGATCCTGAGGTCCCATTCACGAAGACGATACGCAAGACGCATATCAAACTTTCCGACAAGTTTATACTCTTCCAGCATGACCATATCATGAATTCCCTCAGTTAGGTACGGTCTTGTTAAACCATGCACGGTGAAGTATCTGGTTCCCAGGCTTATGGAATGTATGACCTTGCCAGCAGAGACCGCTCGACATCGATAGACACTCCTTTGTAGCGCCAAGTTCAGTTTACTTCAGTTAAACAACTATGATCAGCGCGTCAAAGTGTGGTGTTTCCAGTTGCTACGATTCACCTCGACAGGATAACACTAAGTAACGACGCTGAGCACATATAAATGTAAGCGCAGACAGCATACAATGAGTTAAGAAAGTAGTACCTAAAAGTAATTGGGATGGAATCGATATTGACACCTAGGTACAAAAACCTAATGAATATGCACCACCAACCATGTACCAAAATCTCCCAGTCAGTTTATTCATAACTTCATGCCACGTTATCCGCTAACAACCTCGCAGTTTCGCTCAACTTGGTGCAATGACGGCGTGCAATGCACGTCGAAGCAGGCGGTCAACGGGCCGACAGAGGATATGACATAGCAAACGTAAGCAGGTAAGTTTTAGCAAACAGTTCCATGATGCACCAGAGGGTTTCTTGCCAAAATCAACTGGTGAACCTCAGCACGTCTCACCTGGTGTTCTCATCAGATGTGAGCAGTACTCCGCAAACACCAGTGATCAAACGCGGCCAAGCGTTAAACGCTTCAGTACGAGGCATCAGCATTACGCCGTTGCGCAGTACCGACGCTTCACTGCTGCGCAACCATCACCAGTCGCGCGTGGGCTAAGAATACTACGAGGGTCGCTTGGTTCCATACGCAGGCTAGAACCCGCGATCTTAGCATTACAAAGCAGCTTTATGGTCCTTTATGCCACAGGATGGCCTTCAGTGCGAAGTTGCCATCTCTGGTCATTAGAGTAACATTGGCCTTATCGCAGCGTTGTGCGCTCTAATTTTCTCTGACAGGTTGTTGTTTCTCCGTGCTTATAAATGAATGGGTCTCTGAGAAGCAACGAGGGCTTTACTTGTGATGTGACCACCACAGGTGACACAACTACCAAGGTGAGTGAACCGATCCACCACTTTCAGGGCTGTTCGGGGATAGCTAAAATCGGCAGCGTATCGGTCCAGTCCTGCAACAGCACTTTGCACTTTGAAGTTGCGAAGCACATACCGAAGCTTGCAGCGCTACGCGTCAGCCTGCTTAGTAGTGCTTGCATAGCCACTGAGTCAGACTCAAGAAGAATTATTTCGCCCACCTACCGAAAGTTTTTCAGTCATTCCCCTGTCAGAACTTCCACTCTGGTGAAGACTGACAGGGCGGAGTCATTTATGACCATTTTGATTACAAAGGTGAACGGGAAAGGAGGATACAACTCATCTCTAGCGAACGCCACTTTCCGTGGAGAACTCAGGAGACAGATTCCCATTAACTCTTACACGGCTTCGGGAGTCACGGTAATAAAAGAGTTTTCCTGACACGTCCCTCATGGATAGGCGGTACCACAAGCTGACGCGGTCAACAGAGTCGAAGGCGGCTCTCAAGTCAGGGGAACCCATCGTATTCGGTTGCCTGTAGGCATATCTGTTCTCACACTTGATGAAGTCTGACTATGTGGTTGATGTATCCACGACCCTGGTTGTAACCTACTTTGGTTTCAATGATTCGGTTCTCACGGGGACCAATAAGCTATCGAGGAATGATACCGGTGAGTAGTATGGAGGAAATAAAACTGGCATGAGCAGTACGCCGGTACGCAATACTGACGCTTCACTGCCGCGCAATCACCGCCAGTCTTACGGGGGTTAAGGATACTGCGAAGGTCTCCCGGTCCTTACGCGGGCTCGAACTCGCGCCCTCGAATTACAGGGCAGACTTGGGATCCTTAAGGCTACGGGTCGGCTAAATAATAATAATAATAATAATGTGCCAGCTGTACGCCGTAACGGCGCTTCGCTGCTGCGCGACAACCACTAGTCGCACGCGGGCTGAGTATACCGCGAGGACACCCACCCCTACGTGGATTCGAACCCTGGACCTTATGGTTACAAACCAGGTGCGCAGACCACTGGGGCACCGGCCGGTCGGCTAAGATCATGTTGATTTTCACACGAATTTCTTCAATCCTTTTTGAATATGGGCGCGACAGTTAACAGTCACCAGTCTGAAGACACATCTGTGTCCCAACTCATGTTGAATAGCGCAACAGTTTCAGTCAACAAAGTGATACTTCCATTTTACAACAAAGATGGAGGGAGGTCGTTGAGTCAAGGGTCAGTGTTTCGTTTTAACGCAACAACCTTAGTTAGGTTCTCTACCAAGGTATGATATCAACTCGCGTCAGATCAGCGGATTCAGCAAATGGCAGTGGCCCAGCAGGCCTGCTAAAGTGCTCTTCAAAATGTTCCGCCCAACGGGCTAGTCGACGAGGGTAAGAATGCATCAAATGTCCATCTTTCTCAGCTACGCTGCCACCAACTTAGAGCTTTCTTGGACCCGTGTTCCATATGAGCCGGAACAATGCTATCATTATCCATTTCACTGATTCTCGCCACCCACAAACGTTACCCATCAGTCGTCGTTTCAGGGCGTCACGGGCACACTGAAACTCAATACTAAACGGAATCTGTCTGCGTGTTTCCGATCAAACTGATCAATTCCCTAGAGAGCAATTTACACTTATAACCTCTCATGACGGGCGTACAACACTTGTCAATAGGATTGCACAGCTGACTTT